AAGTAAGTTTAGGTAGCAGACAATTGTCTTTGCAAACTCTTGCAGTTCCTACAGAGAAGGACCACAACTGTAACTATAGTTACAAATTTTCTACTGGCTGATTAGACTTTGGTGTTTTCTAGGTGTACTTTCGACTTCATGCTTCTATTTTGAAACTTGTGGGGAAACCAGACTCTGGAGTAGATGCAGAGATACTGGTTGGTTTCATGAAAGAGGCTTCTGAGGGACCATTTGCCAGGGGTGAGGAGAAGAACACCCCAAAAGTTGCAGAAAAGTGAGTGCTAATTTCCAGGAATATCCTCTGAAAGCAAACGTGTTCAAAATAAGAGCAGGTTATTTGTGTGAAATATCTCTCCATACAGCTATGTGAATGCTAAACTACAATATAATAATTTTTTAAATGAAGGTAGAAGAGATATCAACCGAGCGAAGTGATTAGAATTAACCTCAATATAAATTCCAGGTATCATATACAATTAGATTGTATGCGAATCTGCAGTCTTTTCAGTAATTGACGCAGCGTAGGCAGCAAGGAAACAAATTGGAGTGACTATTATCTTGTGATCTGTTTTGAAGCCACTGTCTTTATTAATAAAATTATTTTTAACTATAGGCAGACCTAAAAGCAAAATTCTGGGGATAGCTTAAGTAAGAGACTTTAGAATTTCAGTCCTTGAATTTGTCTTGCTAACAATTGGAAGATAAAGAATGTTTCCTTATTGATCAGTAATAGGGAAAAAATTAAGCTCTGGCTTAAAAAGTAATTTAGAATTTTCTAGTAAGATTTGATTACTGTATTGGAAATATTGCGCTCTCTAATTTTTCTCCCTCATTCCAGGGAAAAGACTTGCATGATTGATGAAGACTCTCATTCTTCAGCTGGAACAGTGCCGGGCCCTGGAACTTCCCTCCCCTCCTCCTCTGGTCCAGGTCTGACATCCCCACCTTACACAGCCACTCCAGTTGACCACGATTACGTCAAATGTAAAAAACCCCGTCAGCAGGCAACGCCGGACGGTACAGTCCCTGTTCTCAATACTGGCAGCACAGGGAGGTGCTCTAATCATGGGGGGTTTGACCAGGAATGATCAAACTGCTCATTGAAGGAGGGTGATGGGTCTGTGGTAACACGGGCAATATTGAAGCTCATTATTTTTAAAGATTCACAATGCTTTAAATAGAATCAATGCACAGTCAGAGCTTTAAATACAAATTTCAGAGTTGTCACCTGCCACTATTGACACCTGTCATTTACTCTGAATGGGAGTATTGAGACGAATTTGCAGCTGACTGCATTTTTGGTATTTCTCCCATCTCTAGAGAAAAATGGCTGCCTCAAGTTTATTAGAAAAGATGTGGATTTGGTCTTTAGAAAACTGGAGCAAATTTAAATGCCTGTGTGAACCAATTGGATGAAAATTTGAACTGTGGCTGAGAAGTCAAAGAAAAAAAA